ATCTCTTGCAACCAATTCACCTCCGGCCCATACAAATTTTGATTGTTAACATTAAATATTAATTAATTGTTAAAATATTAGAAAAATCCCCAGTAACAGAATAACAAAAAAATTCTCCTCGGGGCTACGTCTACGAATATCGCTTTAAGGTTTATTAAAATTTTGTTTAGCAACACTGAATAGTCTTTGTATTGAGAATAGTGATAATAATCACTATTAGTAATCTCAATAATAGTAATAATAATTGCAATAATAATGGTAAAAAACTGAGGTCACAGTAAATTCTATGTGTTGTTGCAGTATTGAATACTAACGATAATAATTTTTTCAATATTTATCAGGTGGAAAACAGAAAGCAATTTTTTATGGAATATCTATATCTAAGGAATACAATAACCACAAGTTCGTCTACATTGTGTTCTCATTACAATTCCATAATCACCGATATTGCAAAGGTGCCGATATGACGGACAATCAACATGCGCATCAGTGCAGCCACTGAATTGCGAAGCTGAAAATCGAATTTATTTTTTTCAGCAGATCTGATCTAATGCAACTGCAAATAGGTGTAAGTATGTATAAAAATGCGAAGTATAAGTATAAAAATATTTTTACAACTCACTTCTGAGGTTTTGAAGACAAGCGCGTGAAAAACACGTTCTCTGGCACATATTTCTAATCGAGTCATATTGACAAAATCCCCTCAAACTTTCGCACCCATCAATGCTGTCCGGACATTCACCGCCAGCACCAGGTAAATCACAAAGTCCGCATGTATGTGGGCAAAATTCGAACGCTATTTTAGTGAGAGAAGGCATTCTGCACATTTCTTGCGAGAAATTTTCGCATTGTGCAACTGAAAATTCAATATATTGAAAGGCTGTTTCAATTCTATTACATTATTTTTATTTTATTGAATATTACAATTATATATTTATATATATATATATGTATTTAAAAAAGTTAAAACCATTTCTACAGTTGAACTTTCTTGTTTTACAGCACGTCGCGCATGTGTGTGGACATAATTGTTCGGCTAAACGCATATAATTCGCATTTTGGCAATTTTCGCTAATTATAGTCCATTGCACTGAAACACTTTTTCCATTTCTACAGAAATATTGGAGCGAAAACTGTTATTTTTTTTATTTTGAATTTATTTTCTGCTATAAATTTAAAATTCCCTTGTGGTGAAATATATTCAGCAGAATTTTCTAAACCCATATGGATATTTGTTTTCTTGGAATGATTAAATGATTAAAAAAAACTTTATTACGGATTGCGTTGATTTTGAAGTTCTTGGCCTCCCAACGAAAATATTCCAACACATGCATCTCGATCGAGATCGACACATAGATTTGGATCAACGGTTGGACGTTGTACCGCTTGACCTCCTCCAGGGGCTACTGGTTGAACACTTCTATTGCATACATTAATAACCTTACTACCACTATGAACAGGAGAAATAAGAAATAAGAAAGACAAATAAATGAGACAGGAACACATGGCGAGCTGTTTCATGAATGAACTGTTCAACATTCTTCGTAAGCTTTTATACAATCTTTTGTATTACATATTTTGACAAGGAATATTCATTAATCAAATATTAATGCCAAATGAATTTTTCACTTATTTGTTTAATTCATCGTATTGTAAAAAAAACTAGAAAAAAACTATTTCATTCAATTTATTTTATAATTAAATAATTTTTGTTATGATAGGCTATTTCTCTATTAAATATTTTATCATTTATTATTTCCATTAAAGTATGAAAATTCATCAAATTCAAAATATGACGAAATTTTCCTAAATTTTCATGAAAGAGGCGCGAAAAAAATTTCATTAATTTTTTATAACTTTTGAGGAATATCTAATAAGGGATGGATGGTTTTATGTCGATCAGCAGTGACCACAAGTTCGCCTGCATTGACTTCTCATTACAATTCCATAGTCACCGATGTTGCAAAGGTGCCGATGTGATGGGCAGTCAACGTGTGCATCAGTGCAGCCACTGGATTGCGAAGCTGAAGATTAAATTCGTTTTTTTCAGTAGATTTAATCGAGTATAACATATCATTTATGGTGAAAAAATATCTAAAATCCCAATTATAACAATTTTTTGTTAGCCCATTTTTTAATCTTATGAAATTTTAAGGGAATAAGGGATTTCTATCCTTAACTTAAATATGAGAAAAGTGGAAAAAACCAGTCATGCAATCATCTATCATCTTTGCAACTAACTCACATGTAAGATTTTGAAGACAAGCGCGTGAAATACACGTTCTCTGGCAAATATTTCTAATCGAATCATGTTGACAAAATCCTCTCAAACTTTCGCATCCATCAATGCTGTCAGGACATTCACCACCAGCACCAGGCAAATCACAAAGTCCGCATGTATGTGGGCAAAATTCGAAAGCTATTCTGCTAAGATAAGGCGTTCTGCACATTTCTTGCGTAAAATTTTCGCATTGTGCCACTGAAATTTTCACTAAATGTGATTCAATATACGGAATTTTTTAAATTTAAATTGAATTTTAAATTTTGCTTAATTTTAATTTAATTTTAAAGTTATTTAAAATTATTGTTATTGAAAATCATAAGCAAATTAAAACCATTTCTGCAGTTGAACTTTCTTGTTTTGCAGCACGTCGCACAGGTTCGAGGGCACAGTTGCTCAGCCAAACGCATGTAATTTGGCTGTTGACATTTTTCGCTTACTTTATAGCCCTTTGTACTAAGATAAAGGCATTTTTACAGAACAAAAAGTAATTTTTTTTTTGTGAATAATTTTATTATAGATCACCATTTTTATACTATTCTATATTATAAGACTGATTTCATTTTTGCTTTTAAAAAAATTCTAATCAATGGATTTTTTAAAAATATAGGAAGGAAATCTATTTTTTTCAATGTTTAATAAAAAAAAATTTTATTACGGATCAAGTTGCGCTGGAATTGTTTGCACTGCCTCTTGTAAATTAAATACTTCTAAACAAGCTGGGTCCAAGTCCAAACATAGATTTGGATCGACGGTTGGACGATACTGAGGTTCTTGAGCTTGTTGAGGCGCTCCATTTTGAGGCACCGGTACTGCTGGTGGCGGAAGTGGTTTATTGCATACATTAATTGATACATCACCAGCACTTACGCAAGAAATAAAAAATAATGGAAGCAAATAAACAAAATTCATCATGAGCCGCGGCGTTTGTTGATAATCAAATAATCATTCCAAATAATCATTTCCGCTCCTTTAGAAAGATTTTTATACTCATTTTTGTTTATTCTGTAAATATTAATATTCTGTAAATATTAAATATTAAACGTTAAATTTTCGTTAATCAAATAATAATAATCAATTACTTCATTTATTAGTGTAAAAAAATTTTTATTTTTTCCGTGTTTCATTTTTTAAAAATTCTATGTGTTGCAAATATTAATATTAATCCTATTAAAATTAATCCTATATTAAACAATAACTTTCAGTGAATTTCATTAAAAATTGTGAAAAAATTCTAATGTTGGACTTCTTTAATTGTAATTGTTGTAACGTTCCGTCATACCTGTCAGGTAAAACGTCTAAATTGTCAGCGTATTCACGCTATGCGTTGGTATGGTCTAATTACCAGCATTTCTACAGCCAATTGACTTTCTAACGAATCTTTTAGAAAAATAATAATCAACTCGTTCGCAGAAGCGTTTGTTTCATTCTTTTCTTGGTTGTTACAAATGTATTGAAAATGATAAGAACTTTTGATTTGTGACACCAATACGCATTATTTGTTAGTTAATATTGCACATTTAAGAGTAACGTACATTGGAACGACAATAATATCAATAATAATAATAATAATAATAATAATAATAATAATAATAATAATAATAATAATGATTGTAATAATAATAGAGTAACTGAAATCAATTCTATGGGTCGGTTATGCCAATATATTCAATGCTGATGGATTTTTTTTTATATTTATTTTTTTTATATTAATTAAAAAAAAAGAGAAAGCAACTTTTTAAGGAATAGGAATATCTAGTAAGGGATGGATGGTTTTATGTCGATCAGCAATGACTACAAGTTCGCCTGCATTGTGTTCTCATTACAATTCCATAATCACCGATGTTGCAAAGATGGCGATATGACTGACAATCAACGTGTGCATCAGTGCAGCCACTGGATTGCGAAGCTGAAAATCAATTTCGGCAGGTTTAATCAGCACAATCTTATCTTGAGCAGTGGAATTAATGGAGAAAAAATATTACTAATTCCAATAACAGCAATAATTTTATGATAGCACCGCTATATTTTTCCAACAGGTTTAATCGAGCATAATTTGTGTTCAGAAGCGTAATATATGGAGAAAAAATGTTACTAATTCCTATTGCAGTAAACTGCAAGCAGTTTCACTATCTACTTGTTTGCCTCTCCTTACCTTTCCTTTGAATCATAATGCAACGGCAAATAGGTGTAAGTAGGAAGTATAAGTGTAACAATAAAATTATTTTTGCAACTCACTTCTGAGGTTTTGAAGACAAGCCTTTGAAAAACAGGTTCTCTGGCAAATATTTCGAATCGAATCATGTTGACAAAATCCCCTCAAGCTTTCGCAACCATCAATACTATCTGGACATTCACCACCAGCACCAGGCAAATCACAAAGTCCGCATGTATGTGGGCAAAATTCGAACGCTATTTTGCTAAGGTAAGGTGTTCTGCACATTTCTTGCGTGAAATTCTCGCATTGACCCACTGTAATTTTCATTTCATAATTAAATGTATATGATTCTTTTTAAATTTAAATTGATTTTTAAATTGATTTTTGAATTAAATTTTAATATTTGACTTAATTTTAAAAAATCACTTAAAAATATTGAAGGAAGTTAAAACCATTTCTGCAGTTGAACTTTCTTGTTTTGCAGCAAGTCGCGCATGTGTGAGGACATAATTGTTCGGCTAAGCGTATATAAATTGGCATTTGGCATTTTTCGCTAACTTTATAGTCGGCTGCACTGAAATAGGCATTTCTATAGAACAAAAAATGATTCAATAATTTGCACTATGGATGGATCTTACAAAATTGTGTAATAACACTGATTTTATTTTTGTTTTAAAAAAATTCAAAAATTCAAGTATAAAAAATTCAAAAAATAAAAAAATCTTATTACGGATTAAGTCGGTCTAGAATTGTTTGGCCTGGATTTTCTAGATTAAATACTTGTGGACACGCTGGATCCAGGTCGAAGCATAGATTTGGATCAACGGTTGGGCGATGCATAACAACTTGAGCTGCTTGAGGTGCTGCAGGCCGTCCACCTGCACCAACTCCAGGTGCTTGAGGCGCTGGCGGTGGCGGAAGTGGTGTATGGCATACATTAATTGATACATCGCCACAAGTTACGCAAGAAATGAAAAATAATAAAAGCAGATAAGCAAAATTCATCATAAGCCGCGATCTTTGTTGATAATCAACTAATCATTCCAAATAATCATTTCCGTTCCTTGAATAATATTTTTATATTCTTTTTTGTTTATTATGTAAACGTTAAACACTAAATTTTTGTTAATCAAATAATAATAATCAATTAATTATTATTAATTATTTGTGCAATTATTTGTGCAATTCATCGATTTTTAAAATTTGAGAAATATTTTGATTTTTTCCTTATTTCATTTTTTAAGATTCCAATCATTTTTTATATTTTTTTAATCGTTTACCAATTGTTTTCCACTATAAAAGCGATTTTATAATTTTCATCTATTCCGCAGTGCAAAAAATATCTCGGCGAATGATAGTTTTACAAAAGTTTTCTTAAAAATCTTCTTTTCAATTCTCCAAAATTCTATTCCTTGAAATAATATCCTCCATATGAGCGGAACTATCAAATCAAATTCAAGTTCCACAAATCAAGTTTATCACCGCAGTTTCTTTTTTATTGAATGGTATACTAACAATCATTCACCGCTAATATAATTAATTACTGATATAATTATTAATTTTATTAATTATTATTATTAATTTTAATATTATCACCATTGCAAAAATTATCAATTTATGACATTATATCGAAATACATAGTTTTTTGCAATTTTTATTGATAATGGTTAATAATGGCTAATTTAAGAACTGCGGATTAATGTACTATAAAAAATTATAAGCCACTTGATTAATACCGGAAAATTTTTTTTCCAGGTAATCAAACGGCAAAAAAATACTATTAAACTGACTTTATGAAAAAATGCTTTAATTTTTTTAAATTTTTTATTGCTTTAATAAAGTGTTTGCTAAATTGAGATTCATGAAATTTTGTTTGACGAAAGAATGCTTTTTATTTTCGCAGATTTCTTTCTATTTATTTTGTACCATTTGTTTTCATGATTTATCAAAAATTTCTGCAATTCTATACTATATTCTACATTTTTGTTTTTCAATATTTATATTTTGCTAAATTCTATATTTTCTGTATTTTTTTCCTATATTTTATAAGTTCATTTAAAAATTAAATGCCTTTTTCAAAATTACTTGTCACCCACCTAGGTTTCGATTTTGTTAGCCTTATTATTATTATTATTATTAATGGCAATATAATCAATAGAGTCTCATATATTTCCGATCTTGGTACAATCATGGATGAAAATTTCGATTTCGACCTTCACTGTAGAACTGTAGTGAGATAACTGAAAAGAAATCTTCAAAAATGCTAAATTTTACTTTTCGTTTAAGAAAAAAACTAAAGATTTCCTTATGTATAAAGCGTTCGTTCGGCCACTTCTTGACTACAATGCTACATGTTACTCCCCAAGATATCGTAAATCAAGTAAAATAATTACTGGTAGTGTTTATTTTAATATTACCGTCATCATTACAGAATACATCATTTTGCAATATTATATCAAATAATATATAGTTTTTTGTAGTTATAAATGAATACCGGATAAATACCAGAAAATTTTTCTCAAGGAAATCATCAAACGGCAAATAAATACTGATTTTATGAGAAAATGTTTTAATTTTTTTAAATTTTTTATTGTTTTAATAAACTATGCTAAATTGAGTTTTATGAAATTTTGTGTAACGAACTTTGTGTGAAAGAATGTTTTTTATTTTCGGCAAATTTCTTTTTTATTTATTTATTTACTACCATTTGTTTTTATGGCTTATAGAAAATTTTTGCCAATTCTATATTTTTCTATATTTTTTTCCTATATTTTTATTTATAATTCATTTAGAAGTTAAATGGCTTTCCCAAAATCACTCATCACCAACCTAATACCGTCAACTTCAAATTTCTTTAAATTCTCTCGCATCAAAACAGCACAGCACTTTCTGAAAAAAATACTGTCGTGCAGTTCCCGAATTCACGGCACAAACACTAAGCAGTAGTGATAAGACTAATAAAACTAATAAAAATAATATTAATTGTAATATTAGGAGAAAGACCGAAATCACATTAAATTCTTTAGGTTTTTGGTTGGTGTTTGGTTTTGGTGTTTAATGCTAATAATTTATTTTTACTAAATACCTAAACAGAAAAATTTCTTAGGGAACATCTATTAAGGAATACAATGACCACAAGTTCTTCTACATTGTATTCTCATTACAATTCCGTAATCACCAATGTTGCAAAGATGCCGATATAACGAGCAATCAACGTGTGCATCAGTGCAGCCAGTGGATTGCGAGGCTGAAAATCAAATTCAGGTTTAATTAGTATATGTGTTGAGCAATGGAATTTATGGAGAAAAAATGTTCCACTAATTCCAATCAAAGCAATAATTTTATGATAGCACCACTATGTTTATTCTTCTGAGCATAAATATAGGAATGTGGAAATATCCAGCCAAGCAATTATCTTTGCAACTTACTTGTCAGATTTTGAAGGCAAGCTCTTGAAAGACAAGTTCTCTGGCAAATATTTCTAATCGAATCAAGTCGACAAAATCCCCTCAAACTTTCGCACCCATCAATGCTGTCCGGACATTCACCGCCAGCACCAGGCAAATCACAAAGTCCGCATGTATGTGGGCAAAATTCGAACGCTATTCTTCTAAGGTAAGGTGTTCTGCACATTTCTTGCGTAAAATTCTCGCACTGCCCCACTGAAATTTTTAGTATATTTAACTCAATATTTAAAATTCTTTTTAAATTTAAATTGAATTTTAAATTATTATTTAATTTTAGAAATATTTAAAGT